ATGCCTTAGGCAAACCAACGGAAAAGGAAAAAATCACAGAAGCTTCAGATATCAATTCAACATCACTTTCGTTCCCCCATGTTCAAGCTTTTCTTCAGATCTAAGGAAATCTGCCTGCCAGATCAAACAAAGTGTCAAAGCTTTCGAGGAAAAAAAAGACAAAGAAAATAAGGATCTTGCTGAGTCTCTGATACGGCAGAGAACAAGTACACCCCTCAGAACTGCTTCTTGGGACAAAGGTCTACCACATAAAATATTATGTTCACCATGTTAACCCCTCCGAACCACAAAGGCACGGTCTTCACTGTGTTTTGCGATTAACTCGAAAGTCATTTACAGCAATGGCTCGATGAGTAATATGGTTTAATGGGCCGCAAAGCTGTTGTTGCTCACTGTGCTTGCGCTTATCTATGTGAATCAGTCCAATTAACCAGTTTCAGACATGGATCATATCTTTGATTTTTATGTGGAAAGAGTCCAATTCTTGCATGCCTCTCTGGACCTCAAAGCCTCATAGCTCGACACAGTACAGACTTGAGAAGTAGTGATGTTTTTGACTTGTTCCTGGAATGGATAAGACGAAAGAGCGAGCTTCTTTTATTACATGTACATAGATATGGAGACAATGTAATATAGGGACCAAGAATCTCTAATCCTGACAAAAAAATTTTATCTTCAATCTTGTTCATATTCTTAACTAGCCAAGTTAAATGTTTTTGAAATAAGAACTTCCAATCAAATAGTGATGAAGTGGATAATAATTGGACAAATTTTACTCCTACAATTAGGCGACACATAACCACATGCCACAAGCCACATGCCTAGCTTATCTCGTCCATTAGCCCTTTAATTACGTTGTCTATTGTCTATTGTCTAATGTCTACCGACTTTGCTTTTTAGGCCATTTTCAAGGCACTAAAATGTGAGTGGTTCTTTTCTTTCTCAATTCACACATATTTTCTTTTTGTTTTTTAAAATTATTAGAAAAGCAAAGGTTCATCCTCCATTTATTTTCTTTTAACACCAATTCCAGGTTTCTAGTCCTGCATCGCATGTCTCTGGGTTTATGACATAGATGGCTCCCCCTCAATTTGCAAAATTATATATAGTTATTTGATGTATTAATTTGTCATAGTCTATTTAAATCTCACATATATAATAATTCTCATATTGAATCGTATGCTTGTCATATCAAATCAAAGTGACAAATATCATTTCAGAGTTCAGCCCTTGAAAATGAAATTTAATTCTTGTTGTATAGTTGGATAACCAATAAGCCTCCAGGCTGCACATATACTTCAATATAATACATTCTCACCTATAATGTTGCTCCTTTTATCTAAAAAATGCATCTCTTCAAAAAAATCGGATTTGTTGCACATATTAATTCTAGAATTATTACGATTATTGAGTAGCAAAAGAGGTTTTTGTTATTTTACATATATATATCATGAAATTCATTGCATTTTGAGTTTCACAACAAAATAAAAGAGAAACAGAAAAAAAAAAAAAGAATTATTAACTTGTCATGTTTTGAAGGAAGTTCGATTCCATCATTGGTTAATGTATTCCCTCATAGAATAAGAGTGATAATACCATGCCACCGTAAACAAAGGGCCATGCAAATCGTCAGACGATTCCAAAGCAAATTCAAGTATTCTAGAGTTCACCCAATGTTATAGGAAAATGAATCCCCTTGAAATATATCAAATCAAATTTTGAAAAGGAATAAAATGTTTCCATCTCAATGGATCAACTGCAACTACTGCACATTTATAGGTATCCAATTCAAAGAATAGTTAAATAAAAAATTATTCCTAATAGAATCCAATGAAATTTGGTATAAAATACAGGAATGTGAATAAAGATATATATATATATCAAAGCACCAACTATGCTTAGGTGTCAATCCTCTCTTTTCATCATTATTGCATTCTCTAATTCCGGAAAAAATATATATATATATATACATTCAAATACCATCAATTTAAGTCTTGCTTTGGGAAGAAATATGATAGCTGTATAAAGAAACTTCAATTTAAGAATGTAATCATGAGAATCTCAGCAAAACTTATGACAAATCATGTCATGGGTCTGCAAGTCTAATTTAAAAAATATATCAATTAAATGAAAAAAATTCTTATTTATTTTATCTTTTATTTATATAAAATTCGTGATATTACATTTATATAAATAATTTTTCATTTTACAAATTTTATTTCATTTATCACATGACTCGATTTAAAATTTCTAATTATTAAATTTTAACCGTCCATATGTATTCATTTATTCTAACGACTTTGGTGAAAAGGTTTCACGAACATGCATGTGCTCCAGCTAATCAGCATCAACAATATAATTAATTGAAATTAATTTAAGAAAAGGCTTAATATGAACGAGTAGTCAACAGACACGTCAATAGTGGGAACAAATAAATAAATAGTTTAGTGGGACCATCCTCAAGGTCATGTGTTCCAATCATCGGACTCGTAAATGGCAATGCCATTATTAAACAACCTAGCGTGTTGCCCATGCTACGTGTCGGGTACAATTTCTTTATATATAAAATTAATTTATAATATTAAAAATAAAAATAATAAAAATATTATTTATAAATTATATTATAATGTGTAAAAATAAATTTTTAAAAGTTAAAAAATATTATGATAACATATTAAATTTATTCAAAATAAACTTGTTTATTAAACTTAAACTTGCTTAATTTTTCACAATACTATCATGTATAAGTAATATTATTCTTAACAAGTCTATATGATGCATTGTTAATATATTTTTTTTATTATTTCGTGTAATTTTCTGAGTTAAAGACGTGGCAAAATGAGCAAGTTCTTTTTTTTTTAAGTATGTAATAAATAAATAATTACAGTATACACATAAAATACTTTTTCAACTCTTATTTTAATTGGACAAATGAATAAGCATATGACATGTCCTGGACCTTTCCAGAACACCACAGAAGTCTTTTGTCTAGTTTGTCATGATGAGAGGGGAGTTTTTCTTTTTTCTCAATAATTTAGTGACCAAATTAGTAATCAAGTGAATGTCATTAAGGATAATAAACTTAAATATGGGGGTAAGAAAAAGGAAAATACGGCATAATCTAAAAAAATAACATTCAAAATCGAGTTGAAAATTCAAATATTGAGAGATAAATTTGATTTATCACCTTAAATAAAAAGTGATAAATTTGGACCTTATTTATATTTCTAATAAAAGAATAAGTTAAAATATTTATATTTGTTTTTGCTTATCTGTCACAGGATCTAAAATTAAAGGTTTTGTATGTGCTGAAATGTAAATGTTTAATTACTTTTAACTCTGTAATACAGAAATTATCGAGCCATTCTCAACTAGACCCAAATGCCAACATAATCAAGAACATTAAGGGGCTATTTCATCCATCAACCATGGAACTACAACATTTTCAACATAAATTATGAAGCAAATCAGTGTATAAGTTGTTTAACCACTTACAATGAGAATTTTTCTTTGGATTTATATGCTTATGATCATTTGTCATAGAGTGTTAGGTCAATTTTATTTTTTACACTTTTTGAATGTTGTCTGGTTTAGAATGATGAATTAATTTTACGTTATTTTTTTAAATATAAAAAAATTACTTTTTAACTTTGTGTAAAATTAAAAACAAAAAGAAGAAAATGTCAACGAGTAGAGTAAAAATTAACAATTTACATAACACTTTTGACCTTTTCGCTTTAAATAATAAAAAGAAAAAACAAGTGAAAGGTTGTCATGAGACACTCTGTACTGTAGTGAATGACATATCATCAATCATCTGCCAATAGAAAGTATGTCAAAGTTACACAACCAAGGAAACTTGAGATGTCAAAAAGTCAAAAGTGAAAGGGCTTTATTTGTCACATAAGAGTGGTGGTTAAGCCTCCCAAAGCATATTACCTGAATGATTCCTCAATCAATCTGTTCAATATAGCCTATCAAAATTAAATGAAATTATGAAAACAGTCAGACCAAGTTATTCAATTACCTATTTTCGATATATTACTTTAAAAAGTTTTTAAATTATTAAATAAAATTTTATAATTAATAATTATTAATTAAAATATTATTAATTTATATTTATAAAATAATAAAAGAATATTTTAATTATATTATTATATTATATCAATATATCAAGTTACTATTTTATATAAAATATCAAAATACTACATCTGCTAAAATGAAAATATACTAAAAAAAAATATGCCAGCAAATGTTTCTACTATTCTTACTGTCATAAGAATTTCACTGGCATAAAAATCATTGCAAGCAGTGTGGGTTCTCTAACAAAAAATTTTCATTCTGCTCTTTCTAGATTCGCTGTATTAGTGTTACAGTTTGGCAACAGTGTCCTTATCGTGTAAGCTATAAACAAATACCAATAACCACCATCAAAAGAACAAAACCAAATTTTCATATCATCACCTTTGCTTTTTTGTTCCCCTTCTCTTCTGTTTCATACCATCTCTGAGCTTTCTGCCTCTGTAAAGAAAATGGCGGGTAACGACTGGATAAACAGTTACTTGGAGGCGATATTGGATGTGGGTCCAAACTTAGACGACGCCAAAGCGTCGCTGTTGCTCCGGGAACGAGGGAGGTTCAGCCCAACGAGGTATTTCGTGGAGGAGGTCATCACTGGATTCGATGAAACTGATCTCCACCGTTCCTGGGTTAAGGTACTCTTGTTTCTTTACAATCCGTTAGAATACACGACTTTTTTTTTTTTTTTTTGATTATGTTTCAATAGTTTTTAGCTGAATGATTGTTGTTCTTCTATTTTCTTTCTTTTTTTTTTTTTGTGGGGGTTGTGGATGGTATAGGCTCAAGCAACAAGGAGTCCTCAGGAGAGGAACACGAGATTGGAGAATATGTGTTGGCGGATTTGGAATTTGGCTCGTCAAAAGAAACAGGTTCTTTCTCTTTCTTTCTTTCTTTCTGGCTTTCTTTTTTCTCTTTTTTGGAAGAATGTATTTTAGATATTGAATTGTGTACTGATGATGATGTTGATGATGGTGAGAATGTAATGTGAAGCACAACATGTTAGGGGTATTTTTATTTTTTTTTGCGTTGTTAAAATGGTTGAAATGGATAATAAAGTTAGTGAAGTATTTGAAATGTGTGAAGAAAATGTGAGTCTGGTTGGTGTCTTGAGGGGGTTGATGGGTGTTAATGGATTATCAGAACTTTAACAAATGCTACTAATATCTTGTCCAAAGAAGAATAGGTTTGGTAGTTGTTTTTCCTGCTTGCTTTTGCTTCCACACTGAGAAAGTAAAAAAAGTTCGTTTACAGGTGCAAATAGTTTTTTTTTGCTTTCTAAGTTTGATCCTTCCTCATGTCTAATTCCTAAATATAATGTCCTTGTTTTTTTAATTCAACTTAATGTGTATCGGAGAGAATAGAATGCTAATGACTGATTTGGTTGCTTAGAGTGGGAGGTATAACGTTAATGAGAAAAAAGAAAAAAACTCTAGGTTTGTCTTTACCCATAAAATAACTTGTGAGTGTTCTTCATATGCAATGTGGATGATATCCTGACTGATTTGTTTTTTCTTTTCTCAACATTAAGGTGATAATCTTGACTTGGAGTTGTTTTGGTTTTTGTAAGAATATGTATGTGTCCTGCTCATTTCTTAACCAATGAAGAAATTTATGACACTTCTTCTGACTTCAGAGTTCAAAGTATGATTTTGTTCCCTCCTTGAAAGGGTGTGGTTTGGCATAATTAAAATTAATTGGTAAATTCAAATTTTTTATTTTTCATTATCTTAATATACTAAGAGATATATTGAGCTGCCTGTAATTAAATCTTAAGTTATTTGATGTTTCTTTCTTTCGTAGCTTGAGGGAGAGTTGGCCCAGCGAAAGGCTAAACGCCGTCTTGAACGTGAAAGAGGCCGCAGAGAAGCAACTGCTGATATGTCTGAAGACTTATCAGAAGGGGAGAAAGGAGATATTGTCAGCGACATATCAGGTCATGGTGAGAGCAACAAAGGCAGACTGCCTAGAATAAATTCTGTTGATGCAATGGAGACTTGGGCTAGTCAACAGAAGGGAAAAAAGCTATACATTGTATTAATAAGGCATGGACTTAACTCTGCTGCTTATTTTCTTAACATAGATTTGATAAGGATTATGCATAGTTAAGGCATGGACTTAACTCTAGTGCTTTATTTTCTTAACATAGATGTGAAAAGAATTATGCATAGTTAAGTTTCTGTTGCAGTAGTTATAGCATTTTAGTTAAACAAAAATGTTAACAAAGTTGTGCCTCTGGCATCTTATTTACCACTAAACATTGGCCTGATATCGATCAGGTAGCCACTGAAGGTTAGTTTAATAAAAAGAAAATGAAAATTTGTTGACAATAATTTATGTAAATGTAACCCTAGATGGTAGGATATATCTGGCATGCATGATGGTTTTTAATAGTAATTTTTAACAAG